CCCCCCACCCCACACACACACAAGCAAGCCTGCCCTCCCCACTCCCCAGGGCTGGATTGGAGTAGGCCCATATCCCATTTCCTGCCCCCCTGAGCCAGCTGCATGCTCTGGGCCTGGATCAGAGCCAGCACCCCATAGAGGGGAAAGGGCCTATGTTCCTCCCCCCCTCCACCCCCAGCCAGCCAGTGCCCCACCCTGGGGCCGGAGCGGAGCAGGTACCCCTAGAGGGGAAAGGCCCTGTTCCAGGACGGATGCCCCATTGCAGTGGCTCAGCGTGGGGCGTGTACCTGAGGTGCTGCCCATGCACTCCGGAGTTGGGTGCTGTTGAGGTGGGAACTCGGCACCTCGCTGGCTTCTCTCAGGGATTTCCTCCGACTCAGCCCTCTCGACAGTGTTGTTTGCTCAGTGCTTCACCCCGGCAATCCCCGTGGGCGGGTGGAGCCAATTGGGGCACAGGAGGGAGGGCTGGCCTCAACAAGAAAGCCCAGAGAACAGGGACCAAGGCACCTACTCCCCAGAGCTGCTGGGCACAGGAACGGGGTGCCAAGGCCTGCCCGAGTCTCCCAGAAGAGAGACAGAGTCTGTCCTGGGCCTGTATTAGCAGGGGCAGTTGGTGAGTGCCAAGGTGTATGTGGGCCAGGCAGTCCCCTGGCCTTGCTGCCCTCCATGCATTGATGTCCCCATTTCAATCTGTGGGTGCTCTCCTCAAGGATTTCCACAGTTGGCAATGCCCCAATGGGGTGACCTTCCCCCAGACTCACGCAGTGCTGACCCACCAGGCTCCTGAGTAAGGGGGGGCACAGGATCCCTCAGCCTCACTGGCGTTACCTCTTCTCTGCACAGCACCCAGCCTGCTGCCTGCTGGGGGTTGCAAGAGCTGCTGTGCTGATGGTGCCCAGCTGCCTGGCATTTCGATGTGTCAACCTGCCGTGATGAGCCTGATGCTGGTTCAAGGGTTAGTGTTTTATCTGCGTGGAGGTACCAGAGTCTACAGGGTTCAGCCTTGGTGCCTGGGGCAAGATCCCCTGAGCTGGAATCCACAGGGATGGGAAAAGCCCCAGCCAGTCCCTCTCCTGGGCCCAGAGCAGGACTCACCCACCCCCTGTGCTGCCCCTAGCGGGAGCCTGGCATCCATACTGGCCAGCAGGCTTGGTAAGCATCACTGCCCTGCCTGCCCGAGGATAACATGGCAGAGCCAGTACAGCTCCGTCCTGGGCGGCTCCATCCCACAGCTGCCTGCAGCCCTATGCTCTCTGCCAGCGTGACTGCTCCCCAGCCAGCTAGGGACTCCCCTGCCGTCCTATCCCACATTAGCACAGCTCTCGTTACCTGCCCCACCCTGTGTGTGTGTTCCCACGACTGTGTGACGACCCCCAGGGTGTCAGCTCCTGCTCATGTCCTGGCCCTTGGCCATTGCTCTGTCCTCACAGCTCCTCCCAATTGAGTGCCCCCCCCCCAGCAAGCAGTTAAATTGGATGGGCCCTCAGCCCACCCCATGTGGCACCCCCTGCGCCCCACCCCACAGTGCCTTCCGTGTTTGCCAACCAGCAGGGGAGCATTGACTGCAGCTGCGAGGGACCGGCCTCAGGACGCCTGGGTTCTTCAGTGCCTCAGTCAGTCACTCCAGCATCGACCAGGAGCAGGGGGGCTATCCAGGCTCAGGGGCCCTGCAGCGGGTGGGGAAGGAGGCCACTGACAGGAGTCAGCAGAACCTCATTCAAAGGGAGGCAGAGTTTGGGGGTGGCACAGAGCCTCCAGGAGGTTGAGGAGGCACCACTGCCCGAGTGCCAGGGCCCCTGGTTGGAGGGAGCCCTAACCCTGTGACCCGGTGCAGCAAGCAGAGGGGGACAGAGAGCCGCAGCAGGGAGGTTAGTGTGGGGAACACAGCAAACAGCTCCTTCCTGGAGAGGTCTGGGCATGGAGCGGTGGGTGTCCACGCTGGGAACATGGGCCATTCCCATTAGCAGCGAGTGCCTGTGCTCTGGTAATCAACAGGCTGGCAGCACCCCCACATGGGACCATCACGCAGCCACCCACCTGCCCACGTTCCCAGACGCCTGGAGCTGGGCAAAGCTGTTTGAGGCCGGAGTGACCCTAGAAACGTACGCTGGCCTAGCAATGCGGGTTATGGGGGTGATTTCTTCACATTTCTATACCAGCTAGAGCCCTGGCGCACACCCAGCTAAACCATCCAAATCCTTTTGCCACTATAGTTTATTTTGCTCAGGGAACTGGCAAACGGACTTTCCCCCATGGGGGTTGCCCACCTGGTTACAGTGATGTTGTCACGATATTCCTATCAGGATAGCTATCCCAGCACACCTCTCCTAGTGCCCCGAGCACCCCCTAGGGACCGCAGCCACTGCCTGCCAAGGACAGGGTACCTGCTATCCCCTGGCGACATGGGATGGCTCCTGGACTGCACAGGGCCCTGGGAAGGGATGAGCTCCTTCACCCAAAAGCTTCCCCAAGGATGAGGGGGTGCTACTCCCTCCCAGGGGGCTCCCAAGGGGGTGTGAGCAGCAACAGGGCACATGAGGGCCAAAGAGAAGGCAGGAGCCCTAGGGCAACTGACCCCGATCTCCCCATCTGGCTCCTTCTGGGGCAGGCTGGAGATCAGCTGGGATCCATAGCCATGTGGCTGCCAGCTCCCCTCCCTGTCCTGGGCATGTCCCCTGGCCCAGGGCTGGTCCTTAGGGACACAATTCGAGTCAGAGGAGATTTGCACTGGGGTAAACAGCTGCACTCTCTATCTCAGGTCCTTATCCAGCCCAGGGCCGGCTCCGAGGTTTTGGCCGCCCCAAGCAGCCAAAAAAAAAAGCATCGATCGCGATCTGTGGCGGCAATTCGGCGGGAGATTCTTCGCTCCGAGCTGGAGTGAGGGACCGGCTGCCGAATAGCTGGACATGCCGCCCCTCTCCGGAGTGGCTGCCCCAAGCACCTGCTTGACAAGCTGGTGCCTGGATCCGGCCCTGATCCAGCCCCTGTCACTGCAGTATCTGGACACCTCACACGCCTTTGTGTGTTTATCCTTTCACCCCCAGTGCAGCAGGGCCGGATTGTGAGCCCCATTGCACAGCTGGGAGCTGGGGCACAGAGGCTAAGGAACATGCCTAAGGGCACGGAGGGCTTCTGTAGCAGAGCAGGGAATTGAACCCTGGTCTTCCTGGCAGCCCTGAATATTCACACACCTGCTCAGCCTCCCTCCTCTAACATGAGTCTCACCCAGGCCAGCAGCTCACATCTAGCCAGGAGGGGGCCAGGTAAGTGCTGCCCTATGGCTTTCTGCAGCAGTGTCAGGGGCAAGGCTGGCACAGAGGAGAAATGGTGCCGTCTGGACCCTGCTGACTGACTGTGGTGTGTGGCACTAGCCGTTCACACTGTGCTGAGCATGTCCTGTAGCCACAGCACAGAGCCCACCCTCCACTCACTCCAGGTGCCTGACTCACCTGCCATGCCCAGCAGGCAGCACACTGACCTGGGCCACAATTAATGTGTTAAGCAACAGAGGGTCCTGTGGCACCTTTAAGACTAACAGAAGTAGTCTTGCATCTGAAGAAGTGAGATTCTTACCCACGAAAGCTTATTCTCCCAATACTTCTGTTAGTCTTAAAGGTGCCACAGGACCCTCTGTTGCTTTTTACAAATTCAGACTAACACGGCCACCCCTCTGAATTAATGTGTTAGACACTGGCCATTGCTGTCACGCCCACGGGACCTGCATTAGCAGCCCTGCTTCCCTGGCGTTTATTCCTCCCATCCACACACAGTACAGCGTCGCCTGGGGCACCTCTCCCATGCACTGCTGCTCAGCTGCAATGTACAGCAGTTTGCAGGCACCTGCAAAAAAATCTCAGAGCACTGGGGCAGGGCCGCCCAGCAAGGCCGGACCGGCTAAACAGGGCCGGGGAAGCCAGGCCCCCTTCCGGACCGCTGGGCCCCGGTAATTTGTACCAGCTTCCCCCCCAAAACAAATCGGCCCTGCACTGAGGGACAGCCGTGGGAGAACTGATTGTTCCACAGGAGCTGGATTGTGTAGGTGCTCGCTGAGCCAGGGGCTCATTACGTTAGTGCCTCAAAAGTCCACGAATTCAGGCAAGGCCAGGCCTGATTAAAGGAGTGCTGAGAACCTCCATCTCCTGCTAAAGCTAGGGGGTTGGTGTGGACACTCCCAGGAACAGCCTCTCGGGAAGTCACACTTCAGAGGGCTGCAAATGGCTCCCAGAAAGCCAGGCACCCAAACGGGGACGCTGTCACAGCACATGCAAGCTCCATTCACGTTGCTAAAGCAACAGGAAGCAAACATGGCTCTAATGGACTTGCCAGCCTGGACAAGGGCACGACTCCCAATACACCCATTGTCATGGTTGAGTCCCGCATCCAAAAGGAAAGGTCCCTCTGGCTACGGGCGGATTATACCAACCCCCCGGGGGCAGCCGCTGTTGCCACTGGGGGTGTAAGGGGCTCTCCCAACCTCAGCAACAATCTCCTCCCCCAAGGATGGTGTCTCTCCCTCTTCCCATGGTCCCTCTCGCTGGCAGTGTGGGCCCCTGTTGTCCAAGCACCCCACGGTCTCCAGTGCAGTTCAGCCCTGTGGATCCCACCCCCATGCTGCACGTGGGGAACCAAAGCACAGGGGATGCAAGCTTTGTCTACACAGACAGATTAATCCGGATTAACTGCAGATGCACGGTTAGGGCTGGTCTACACTGGGGGGGAATCGATCCAAGATACTCAACTTCAATCCAAGAAGTCGAAGTATCTTGGATCGAATTACCTGGGTCCACACGGCGCGGGCTCGACGGCCGCAGCTCCCCCATCGACTGCACTATTGCCGCTCGCTCTGGTGGAGTGCCGGAGTCGACGGGGAGCGCGTTCGGGGATCGATCCCAGATAAATCGATTGCTACCCGCTGACAGGGCGGGTAGTGAAGACGTACCCCTAAACTGGATCAGCCGCTGCTAAACCGAAGTGAGACCGTGTAGACCCAGCCACACAGGGCCCTACTACTCTGGATTAACGCCACCAACCCCATCAAACCCCACGTTCCGTCCACGCGTGCGCTGAAAAGTCCCGCCCCACCCGCTCCCTGCGTCATAGGAAGGAGTATACGCCCCCCGCCCACGGCTCTCCGCCAATCCGCGTGTCCGTTATGTGTGTAAATCCGCCCCCATACCACTCCGCCAATCCACTTGGCCGTTCTGGACGTGGCCACGCCCCTTTCCCCTCCACCAATTCGACTGGCCGTCCGGGGGTGACCCCGCCCCCCACACCTTTCACACAACCCAGGCCGCCACTAGTGATCCCGCCCTAAATCCCATCCCTCCGCCAATCATTTAACCCATTTAACCTCCGTCACGTCCGCGCTGCCGAATCAGAACGCACACCCCGCCTCCCGCCCGGCCCCGTAGCCAATGAGACACGAGCTGGACGCTGATTGGCCCTAGCGCTTGCCGGCCCAGGCCTGGACAGGTCGCTGCAGACTCGGAGCGGAGTGGTGTAGGGGTGCTCGGTGCTGTCCCCGCGGGGGTGAGTTCGGCTCCCCGGCCCCGCGCAGCGCGCGCGGCCCCGCCCCCGGCCCATGCCCGGCAGCCCCCCCCTTCCCTCTCCGGGGTCGGTCCTCCCGGCCTCGCTCGGGTCACTGGGACCTTCAGGAGCGCAGGCGGCTGCGCATGCGCATGGCAGCTGAGCGGGGCGAGACAAGCCTCTGCTCCTGCTGGGCGGGGCAGGACGCCTGGGTCCCTTTGGCTCGCTCCTGCCCGCCAGACCCAGATGCCGCCAGGATGGGTCCCAGGTCACTCAGCCCCTCCCCGACAGGGTGAGGGCCTGGCCCGGAGCCGGGAGATGCAGGACCCCTGTGGGAAAGTGCCCTGCACTACGGCCCTCGGATGCCTGGGTCCCATCCCTGAGGGGAGCTGCAGGACCCCTGTGGGAAAATACCCTGCACTATGGCCCTCGGATGCCTGGGTCCCATCCC